TTTCAATTCATTTTATTCTAATAACCAAACGAGACATTAATCTATTGTACAAATAACCATCTTAAAATACCTATATTTTAAAATGAATGGAATGGAATTTAGTAGATACTGAAAATTGAATCGATCAAAGTATTAATTTAAGGGTTAATGGTTAAAACTATATGTACATAATTTAATCATATTCAAATCATTCATGAATAAAGCATTTCATTAAATCAATTAAACTGGTTGGATTTATTTAAATTTGAATACTGCGTAATTTACCACTTGAAGGTCTTCCACAAAGAACTTGGCAATGTCATCCGTAAGCCCTGCCTCCACAATTTTCACCTACAACATTTAAATCTCCTTGCCCACGAAAAAAAAAAAAAAATCTTATCTTTAAAGACTAACTAATTTTAAATTTTAATCCGGTGCGTGTTTTATACATAGAAGAGAACTTTCCATGGAGTTGATGAAAAGTGAAATGAAAATAGTTGAAAATAAAACAAAGATTAAATTATCTTCAGAGAAGAAAATAGTATTTTCATAAAAAATACAATATTACTTGATTACTTTGAACTATTTCCAAGAGAAATAACATGTCATTGGTGGTGACTATTTTCGAAAATGGATCACATGATGGAAGCGTACCAAAGATCATAAGATCTCAACTATATACATACATACATACATATATACATATTCAGAGTGATCAAATATTACACAATTCACACACCCAAATGCCCGTGCCGAGCTTGAACTCTGGACCTCATGCATATAGGGAGGTGATATTGCTATTAAGATAGCTTATAAATAGCTAACCTCAACTACATTTGAAATACTGGTGATTTTAATATCCTAATATCCTTTTTCACATTGTCAAACATAATAAAAGAATTTAAAACTTAAGTATTCAATTTAATATATACCAATCCAATTGAATTTAATTCAATGAAATCACAAATTATAATAAAATAAAAATAATGAAAAATAAGAACTAGAGATTGAAATGATAAACCGAAACCAGTACAATGCAGGATCCTTGAAAACAATAATTATAATATGAGCAATGAATTGAAACTGTGTACTTCCTATGAAAACAATAATTATAATATGAGCAATAATTATAATATGAGCAATAATTATAATAAACTAACAAATTTGGGCCCTATACTAAATATTCTCACTGATCTTTGTTATAGAGCACTTTTTAAAAGGATTTATTTAGTCTTTATTATAAGATATATGAGAGGTTATTTATAATTATTTTTCAATTTTATTCCTATTTTAATTTGTAAATTCAATTTTACAGTTCATCACATATTATATATTTCTCTCTTTTTATTCTTAATAAGAGTAAAGTTGAAAATTTTTATTTCAAGACACATTTAATAGTTAAATGTTATTTCTTGATTTTAGTGAAATAGTTGAAAGCAAGGTATTGAAAATTAGATTAATTATTAAATTGGTTAAAGTGTTATTTCAAGAGTTAATAATCAAAACTATAATTAAACAATAATCAAGTCAATTATAAGCAAATTATTTTATTAAACTAGTTAAGACATTGGTTTACAATTAATTTACTAGTTCAACTAGATAGATTGACCCATATTTTTATACTATAGTTGAAAGTACCTTATAATACCATTTAAAAAATATAAGACACTTATTAAAGGATTAAATATTTAAAAATGTAAGATATTTTTAGTATTTTAAATTGTAATAATTACCTTTTTTAAAAGTATCCTTATTAAATAATTATTTTATATTTATTTTAGAGTAAAATATCATATTACAGAAGGGTAAATATAAAAAGGTAATATTAATTTAAAAAAATATAATTTTAAATTCTTATAATTTACTCACATTTTATTATTATCTAAAACAATAAAAATATAAAAATATAAGGATTAAAAATATTAAAAATATAAAAATTAATAACAAAAAACAAAATATAAAGATATATTTTTTAATTAAAAATAAATAATTATTTTGTTAAATATAAAATTTAATTTAAAATATTTTATATTTTTTAATAAAAGAATATTAAACTACAAAATTTCCTGCATCCTAATCATTTCAACTCATTAAACATGAAAATAAAAACATAGTACATTAAAAAGCTGGATGAATTTGTCAGAGTCTAAACCCTATATATAATAGACTTTGAAAAGACAAAAGAAAAAATAACCACGGCTATAATAATACAAATCAAATGATTTCTTTGAAACCTTTGTCATAAAAAGCATACCCTTTTCTTTACTTGGTAATAATATAACATAATAAAAATAGTTGTGAAAACAAAAGATACCCTTTTACAAGTCAGCCGCATTCCACTTGCATGGAACTATCAGATGATAGGATCCCATCCCTTATGTTTCTAGAAACCTCCTGCTCAAAATATAAGTAAATAGATTTAAACATAGCTTTTTTAATATATTTTTATAATTGGCAAGTTTTAGTTTGATTCCACAATTTTATAAAATATTTTTTTCATTCCTCTGACATTAATATCAATAAGTATTTTTATATAAGTATTTTTTAAATTTGAAAGCATATTCTAACTTTTGTGAGCTTTTAAAACTTAACTCACATCAACTTTTCATCACTGTAAAAGTATTAGAGAGAGAAAGAGGTTGCAAAGACTAAAGAGACTAAAATGAAGGGACACCAACATGAAACCTTCTGTAAAATTAAAGGATCAAATATGTGTTTGCATAATTTTTTTTTAGAAATAATGAAACTTTTAACCTTTAAATTTGTTTTAGTTATTGATTTGATATTTAAAATTTATTTTTTTAATTTAATCTCTTAATTTTTATTATGCTTTTTTTTAATAATTTAGTGTTAGGGGCATATTTTATTACTTTTGTTATGTATTGAAGACAGCTTTCAAAATGTCAAAATGAGTTTGAATTCTTATGCCAGCGTGATTAAAAAAAAATCAAAAGCACTAATTCAATGTAATAATTGTAATCATATGATTGCGATAAAAAAATAAAATTTCAATTACTTCAAAAATACGAGAAGTCAAAAAGTGTTTTACTCACTGAGATGGTAATTCAATTTAACTTATTCTTTGTGTAATATATTTAAATTTTTATCTAAATACATATTAAGTCATATTTAAGTGTCGTCAAACTTATTTAAGATAATTCTGTCAACGTGAATTTTTTCTTTACATTTGAAAGTTACAAATTCATTTCTTTAACTAATTAGTTAACAACAAGTACTTCTTTAGTAGTGAGCAATTAGAACCATCAATCACAGTGTTAATGAAAATCATATCATAAATCGTAGCACTACAATTTATTGTTAGGAAAGGCAATCATTTAGTCAATGTAATTTTAATTTAATTGTAATTCAGTCATTGAACTTTAACTTATTACAACTCAATTTTTATAATTTTAATTTGATCGTAATTTATTTTTTAAATTTTGACTCGATGTAACTCGATTCCTATAGTTTTAACCCTTCAAAATATCAATCTCTATATTTAAAAAATTATACTCCCTCCATCTTAAATTATAAAATAATTTAAAATAAGATTATGCATACCAATGAAATTCAACAATAACACTTAATAAATTTATTTTTTAAAATAAAAATATAAAATTTTAAAAATACTCTTCATTTAACATAACTTTAAATTCATGTATTTAATTACTCCCTGTATCTCAAATTATAAGGCACTTTTGAAAAAAAAATTCATCTCAAAATATAAGACATTTTAGATAAATTAAGGTTTCATTAAATGTATCAATTTTAATATTATCATTTCTCTCTTTAAAATTAAGTTTCATCCCTTCTCTTTTTAATATATTAAATTATAAATATTTTTGAAAGTTTATATTTTTATTTTAAAAAAATAAAATTATTAAATGTATTTAATGAGGCTTATCAGTATATAAATTTTTCTCAAAAAGCAACTTATAATTTAGAACGGAGGAAGTATTAAACTATAATTATTTTAATTCTCCCTACTTAAAGGGTAATATTAAAAAAATATTATTAATAAAATCTTATTTTTATCAAATTAACTTATATTTTGAAATAATAAAATACTTTTAAAAATATCTTATAATTTGAGATAATTATAATTTTATTTTTTAGAATTTTTAAAATATTAAAAGTTTTAATAATTTAAAATATTAGTTCCTCAAAATCAAATAAGTAATTTCCCCTTTATCAGTGATCCCTTGGCCAAGTCTATGCGCCAAACCAAGTGTAGCTCGTAGACTTGAAGGAGACCAAACTCTCACAGAAAAAACCAGAATGTCACCGATAGTCACTCACTCACTGCACTAGACTCTCATTGCAGAAACTTGCAGCCTATGGCGTCCCCTTGAAGAGAGAAGCCTACGTGTCATGCATTCACGAGCTTCATGACTCGCATGTGCTCATCCACAAGCCACACAGCCAGCCTGCCCTCTTCCATTTAGTAAACTACCAGTATTATTTTACTCTACTTGCTACAATATGATACCTTCATATTATTATTATTATATATTAACCCTATTAGAATTAACATTACTGTTGTCACAAACATCTAGGCGTAGGACAGTTAAAAATCCCACAGTAACTCACACACGGACACTGTCCTACAGGGTCACAGTCTCACAGAGCCCTAAAGATTCCCAAAAACCGTGCACTTTTGTCATACGTGTGGGCATCTACATCTTCTTTTAGATCTCTGCAAGTCCTTTCCTGTCATTTTTATGAAAGTAAAGGCTAGGCACTGGCATGTATAATTAATTATATTTATATATTTGCGTTTGTGTGTACAGGCCACATTGCAGAGCAAAGAAAGTGGCATCCCTCACATGGGTGGGTGTTGGTGGGTAGGACCCATGCACAACCTGGCATTATATAAATGTATAGGACCCACTTGCAGTGTCAGCAGTCCCCCATGTGATGGTGGTGTGCCTGGTGGGGCCCCCACTTTCTTCAATAATGGCATCAAAATAAAGACAGGCCCCACCACCAATTTACACACAACTTGAAAAAGTGAAAAATAATTGAAGGGGAAGGAAAAAACAGAGACAAAACCTGTCATTAGAATCAAAAGAGGAGGGAAGAGGAGGAGGCAAAGGACCAAAGGCAGAGCCAAACAGTAAGAAGAAGAGAGTGCAATTAAGTCTTAAAAAAAAAAAAACTCACTTTTGCTTTCTGATTTGTTTCTTCTTCTTTCTAAATCTTTCCCTTTTCTGTCTAAGTAGAGGGGGTTGAGGTTGACAATTTGTGTATAACAACTAATAGAAGTACAAACAAACTTCAACAAGAGATGAAATATTAGATGGAAGAAGAAATCTCCACTTTTGAGCTTTAAGCCAAGCTTTAGCAATTATACCTTCCCCTCCTACTCCTCATTCACTTTCTTCAACTCAAATTAGTGATTACCCGTCATGGGATTTGTTGAATCAGCCTTGTAGCGTGTTTCTGCTTTTTACAACTTTTTCCCTCTCTTCTTCCTTTCTCTGGCTTGTGCTTCAGCTGTACAAGGACTCTTAGATTTTAACTAACAACATTAAGACTAACATAACTACACTAAGTCCACTCACAATGGGTAAGTAAAAGGGGACGAAATTACAGTGCCAGAAGTTGTTTTCCCTACTACACTCTGATTCTTTCCTGTGTTATTTTTTACCTGTGGTTCTTCAGCTACTACAGAAAATGAGAGAAGAAAAGATTAAATTAAAATGGTACAATAACCACAAAGGGAAGGGGGGGAATGGCGGGACCCCACTTCCTGTACTGAACTGCTTTTTACGTATGCATTTTGTATGGTAGTAAGTAGTATAGTATTGATGATGATGGTGATGGCCATGGTGGTATTGATGATGATGGTGATGATTTTTCTCTACAGATTTGTGTGATGCGGAGGGTTTGTTTGGTTGGTAAAGCTTGCTTGCTTCTCTTCCTGTGGACAAAGCACAAGATGGCCAAATTAAGACCAAATCCACCTTCAATTATATAACACACCAAAAGAACAAATGCTATGCACGTTTAAGACAACAAAGCTGCAACTGAGCTCATGAAAGAATCCACCCAACAAAAGTTAGTTTACCTGAGCTTTGGGATGCTAAATGCCACCACCGGTGCCAGCAGCAAACATTCCGATGGTTCCATGGCCGGAAGAGAACCTGGGTTGAAACCCAGATCAGCAAAAGTTTAGAGCTTTATTAACACTGAAACTCATGGGGTGTGTGGGGAGAAACTTAATAGAATTAAATGTGAATGCCAGATGACAATTATAATGGCACCTGGGCAATTGGCAATTGAAGGTTTTGAAAGATCCCATGTCCAGAGCAGATGCTGCTGGAAGCAATGAACTATTTCCAAATTTAGAGTTAGCAGATGAAACTGAAGCATCTGAACCAATGGCCTCGTTAGGTCCACAGGAGAAGGCAGCCATGTAGTCTCCAGCAGCTTTTGTGGGAGAAGCAAAAGGACTATCAGGGAGATTATGGTCCAAACTGCATTAATTCATTTTTAACCCAATTAGCTATATGAACTCTGAAAGAGAATCAAATTTAGGAAAAGTTCAAATTCTGGAATAAATGCACATAACTTTTAGCATGAACGAAAGGAGGAATTTTTGCTACTCTGGTACCCTTTAGATTATTCCAAGTGATAAAAAAAAGTTGCCTACCATTCTTGCAATTCACGGTCTTCATGACTAGAAGAACTCTGCTTGCCATTGCCTTCAGTATTATTTCCATTTTCTCCATTCACTGCCACCTCTTTAACCGCAGAAACATTGATTGCTTGCTGCAATGGTGGCTGATCAACAGGAATTGATACGGTGCTAGCAGGAGCTGAGCTAGAAACACTCTCTGGAATCAAACAGAAAGCACTACTAAGTTCATTCTTCAGAGGTAACCAAACTGCATTTGAAAATCTTAAAAGATGTAAATCTATACCTTCTGGGGCCTCAGTGCTACTGTGAAATGGAGGAAGAACAAGATTCTGAGAGAATATATTAGGGGAGTGAGTTGGGGAAGGTACAGGACTTCCAGCGGAAAGAGCTCGGTGGTGTTGCTTCTTGATGTCAAGAAGTTGCAGACCCATCAATCTCCTGCTTTGAAGCTCAAGAGCTTGCTCCTCCAGTTTCCTCCTCCACAGCATGTCTTGAGTACTATAGTACATTCTCCCTCCTAAGTTTTTTGTAGAAAAAGATGCTTAGAATATGAAGCTAAGAACGCATTCAAAGAAAGAACATTGAATGGTCAAAGCATTAACATACCAAGTTGGAGATCAAATGGGTCTCTAGCATCAAGTCCAGTAGGAGTACCACAAGGTGAGAAATCTCCCCTATCCACCTGTTGCTGCTGCTGCTGCTTCCTGCAAATGAAGAAGAAGAATGAGTTAAGTGTGATAAATATATACATATACATATATACATATATATATATATATATATATAGTGTGTGTGTGTGTGTGTGTGTTACTGATGAAGATGAAAGGTCAAGACATGAGGAAGGAAGGAGGAGAGAGTGCCTGTACTTGTCTGGAACCTTGCCTTTTTCCTTATAAGGCTTGACGAGAACTCGAGCATCACAAACGAAATGAGGGTTTCCTTTGGACAGAATGAGCTTCACAGTCTCAGGAAAAACGAAGGTCACAAACCCAAACATACGCTTCTGCTGGTATGGGATCCTCACGTCTTGAACAGGCCCATAAATGCTTCAAGCAACATAGTGAAATGACAAGGTTTAGAAGATAATGGAATGAAAGAAAAGAGAAGAGAACAAAATATATAAATCAGTTCAAATTTAAAGGCCAACCTGAAGTAATTTGAAACATCTTCCTCTCTGAAAGTGCTATCAGCTGGGAAGGTCAAGTAAATCTGCCTTGAAGCTGGGTTCACCATTCCAGGACCTCCATTGAGAGAGAACTCACTTCTATCTAACCTGGATCGTCCAAACTTGTGCAAATCCTCGTTCATCATGAGTGCAGCAGCAGCTCTGCAGAAAATCATAGAACAAGAAAGTTAAAAATCTGAACATAATAATAGGGGGGGAAAACACGAGTGTTGCAGTTTTTCTTTGCTGTACCTTTGGCTATCATTTTGTTGCTGTTGTAGCAGAAGATTCATACACTTAGGGGAATATGGGAAAGAAGAAGCCATGAGCTGTGAAGCAGCGGCCAATCTCTGCTGCTGAACACTCTTAGATCTGAGAAGCTCATGACACTGGTCCACCATCTCCATCTTGCTCGGAGACCCCACCACCATTGCAGCACCATCAGCATCTCCAAGCCCACCATGAAGAAACCTGCAAGTATTCCCATTCTTGCAGTACCCTCGAGCGAAGTAAAGACAAGGCTTCCACCCCAAACCAGAATTCAAATCCTCCGAACCCAAACAAGCATCGTTCACGGAGCAGCTCCGGCGGTGCTGCGCCGGCGACCCACTCCAACCAAAACCCCCGGCGCCCAAGGCAGCCCCGGTGGGACTAGAAGACAAATCTGACTGAGAAGGGAAAAACAAATCCGAGCTCTTGGGTCCCAGGGCCGGAGAAGACCCATCATTGAGGAAAGAAAGCTGGTCTTGGAGCTGAAACTCGTCAATCGGGTCGGATCCTCCGTTTCCATAGAAGGGCAAAGAGGAAGACGAAGAAATCAAATCACTCGGAGACTGAAGTTCAGAGAGAGTCGGAGCAGTAGTAGTTGCACTAGTGCAGTTCAAGAGCTTGGAGGAAGTAGAATTCTGTCTGGAAATAGGGACTGGGTTCGAAGTTGCAGAAAGAAAAGGAGATGGCGAAGAAGGAGTTGAAGGAGTAGACGGAGAGTTCGATGGAAGCAATCCCAAGTCGCTTCGTGCTTTGACTACCACAGAGTGAACCAAAGCTTCAGGACCAAACGCTAAGCGAATCATCTCTTTCTCGCCATGATCTTGAATCAGAAGCAGACCCATAATTTTGGAAGCATTCTCAGGGTCCAAGTTCTGGATCCTCGAGAATACTATTCTCGTTGCTTCATACCCATCCATGGCGGATGAAATTCGGGGGGAAAACCTCTTTTTAAAGAAGAAAGCAAAAAAAAAAAAACTAAATTTTTTTGGTTCCGCGAGATCTGTCTCTCTCTGTCAGCTATATTTCTGAGTCCTAAATGAAGTTTCTGTTTCTCATATTCTTCCTGCAAAGGCCAAGAAAAGCAAGTTAAAGGAAGAGAGGAGAGAAATAAGAAAGTGAAGTGGCAAAAGTAGTATTCTCGTGTGGATGATTAAAAGGGGTGGTACTAATGGAGGATGCCTTGGATAAAAGGAAGAAGAAGAGAGAGAAACAAAGATAGTGGCTGAATTTCTCCAATATTATTAATAATTTTTTTTAAAAAAATAAAGCAGAGAAAGTGAACCAAACAGCAACAAAATCAAATCTTTCTTTTTTCCTTCTCACTTTTCAAGGCTTGAAATTGAAGGAGTGAGTGGAGAAGAACACAAAGCTCACCCAAAAGAAAGACGAGAACCATGTTGGTCTTCATCTTCTTGTTGTTGAGGTTAGGGTTGAAAGCAGTCAACTGAGCAGAAAGGCCAAAGCACCGCCTGGGTTAAGGGAGTGCAAGGAGCAGCAGGAGCAGGAGCGGCAGAAGAACCATCAATTGCTTCACTGCTCCTGCTGTGTGTTTTATGGGGTTCTGGGCAACTGAAGTTGAAAGCTTTCTCTCTCTAGTCGCTCGCTCTCTCTAAATCCCAAGATTTTCTTCTCGCACTAGTCCCTACTTGCTACTGCTACATATACACTTACCACTTTCTCTGTCCTTTGAAACTTGCAAATCCGAGACCGGTAGTAGTGGCACCAGCAGCGAGAAAAGCCCTGTGATTTTTCATTCATATATATATATATATATATATGTATTATATAAATTATTATTAATATTAGTGATATTTTTTCTATCAATATTAACGCTGGTATTAAATTCCGAAAAGTAGTAGCTTGCGAATATTAAGAGAAGAGCCCGCCAACTCCACTCCATGGAACAGAAGACAGTAGCGTAGGAAATAAAACTCGGACATGGTGGGTCTCCCGCTTGTGATTGTTTTTATATAACAGTTTGAGTTTAAAAAATAATACTTTAAAGAAAAATTGGGCTTTGATAACTCTTAAAAACTACTCCCTTCATTCAAAAATATAAAATATTTTTTAAAAAGTTTAATATTTAAAAATATAAAATATTTTTAATCTTTTAAAGTGTAATCATTATTTTTTTAAAAGTGTTCCCATTAATAGTGACTTTATATTTATTATACGATATTCAATAGAATAAATGTAAAAATATAGGATTAATTTAAAAGCAGGTGATCATTTTATTGAAGAGTGAGATTCAATTAAAAATACTTTATATTTTTTAACGAAGGGAATAAATCTCAAGTGATTCATTTAGGTTTGTTTTTATTTTATCTTTAAAAATAAAATATTTTTAATTTTTAAATTAAATTTAAATTTTAAAATATATGTTTATACTCTAAAATTAAAATTTTATTATTTATTTTTAATTTTTTAACATTATAATTTGTATTTTTTAAAATATATGAAATATTGAAATTAAAAATTTTAATTTTTAAAATTCCAAGAAAATAAAAAATTAATAAAGACGGGCTTGCAGACCCAATTCAGCCATTTCCTGACTCTAAAGAGCAATGGATAAACATCTTTTGAATAAATTGTTATATACATAAGGGTAGGAATTTGAATTTTCAATTATTTGTTCTAGTAATAAGATTCTTTATCATTCATTCATGTCAACTTTAATTAATATCTTTTTAATTCTTTAATTTTGATTGATTTTGTTAACCAACCAAAAAACAACCATTGAATTTCTAAACGTTGATATTTCCACTAGAAAAATTCCCCTTTTTTAATTGCACCCATTTAATATTTCATATACATTCATACATACATACATACATACATACATACATACATACATACATACATATATATATATATATATATATATCCTTATCAAATTACACAGTATTCACAGTCATGCATCATAAGTTACAATCTATCCATCACGTCCATGCAGTACCCAGAGGAAAAAACATAACTAGTCTAAGTTAATGAAAAGAAGTTTTTTATTCGTCATCTACTTGATACATATTTATAGTTTTATTCTCGGAATGTTAATGAACAAGTAAAATTTTAGCTGATAAAAATATTTTCATTAAGGAAATAACAATACATGCATGTCATTTTCCTTACCATCAAATAAAATTAGGTGGGCCTCCGTATATTGCATTTGTTTTGTTAGATAATAAGACTTTACTTTTTTTTATCAAAAATAATAAGACTTAATTTGAATAACATGTTAAAGGTTGAATCTTTTCGGCCAAACAAGAGTTTGATGTCAACTACATATGTAATTGGAGGAAAGCAAATAAAAACATGAGACTGATGTCTGAATATATGTAAGTATGGGGGCGAACATAGGAACATTATAAGCGATTTATATTTTCATGGTAAATATTGTCCAAAGTGTAAATGTAAGAATTTCGCTTTGCCATACCATCAAGAGAAATAAAGTTGGCTTATGATTTTATGCTTGTATTGTTTTTCCCCCTTGATTACATATGATCAAGTCTTACATTTTTTTTTCCTTTTCTTCTCATCAGTGTAAATTCCAAGCAGAGGCAAGGGTTTAAACCTTTTTATATATAAATTAAATTATGAATAACATAACTTTTTTAGATACTAGATATAACTTCTAAAATTTTGTCAAGGAAAAGATATAACTTAAAAAAAAAAAAAAACTCTCCACTTTATTTGTGACTTTTGGTGAGATGTTGAGTGGATCTAGATCTTCAGCTTTACTTTTTTTGAAGGGAGAATATCAATTAAAGATTATTAAAAAAAAGCTATATTAATTAAAAATTATTTGTTATCAAAACTCAAGTAGATACTTATTAATTTAAATTAGTCTTTTATTAACAAGTATCTATCTAAGTTTTAATAATAACTATTTTAAATTAACAATAGTCCATTTAAACTTTTTCAATTTTAACGATAATTAATTATTGACTAATATAAATTATTTCCAGCAATTCTTCATTCCCCTTTTTTCATCCCTAGAGTAATTTATTACTCTTTTTGTTATACTGTTATTTTTGTAATTTGAGTGGGAAAATTAATCATTGTTGCATATTTAAAATTTGAGTTGGAGATCTCTAGTTAACATGGACCAATCTCTGGCCAAATGATTTAAACGCCCGATAGTTTTCTTAATTTATTCTTAGAGTAATTTTGGTCGATTTATCCATAGAGTAATTTATTATTTATCATTCTAATAATATTTTGAAAACATTAAATGAGAACCAAGATGTGGTAAAACATCACATATTTGTACATATTTATTATATTTCATAATCTATATGCAATAATCTTAAAAAATAAATTTAATGAAATAGAGGAAGTTTTCATTCTTAAAATATTTTTAGAGACATTAAATAAACGGTAAATCTGATGAAATATATCATGTTTTACATAAAGTTTGACTTTAATTTTTTAATTTCATATATATAATTTTAAATAGGGTGAGATATATTTTTAATTCTTTAACTTTACACAATGTTTTGTTTTGATCCCTTAATTCTAGAAGGTGTCTTTTTCAATTATTTAATCTTAATATCATTAGTTCATTGAACCTATAAATGTTGACGAAACATTTTAAAATGATTACATGTTAAGTTTAATTTTTTAAAAAATAATAATGATTGACATACGAAAATAATCATTCAAAGTTAATAGTGTTCGGGTTAGGGGATTGAATACACTTCATCTTATCTAAAATATAAGCATTTCATCTCAATTAATTTCTGTTCAAAATATAAATAACTCAATACATGTAAAAAAAATATTTTACCCCTGTACTTGTTAACCTAAATTTTTATATAAATATATCTTTTATTCACTATAGAATGCATTAGTAATTAAAATTAGGTGTAAAAAAATAATATATAATTTTATGAGAATAAAAACTTTAATGATATGCAGATTTTTTAAAAAACTGTTTATATTTTGGAGTAAAAAAAGTATACTTTGTATAATTAAGAGATGAAATCCAACCTCCTATATGAAGTTAGTTGACCAAAAATATATTTTAAATTTTAAAATATTATAACGTTTGTATGGGAGTCTGCAACCCACGCTCCAACGGTATCTGTGATGAGTGTGGTGGGACCCAGTCTGTAAGACATCATGATGATCAGTGATTGGAGCGTGAAGTACACGCTCTGAGGTTTTCGGCTTGATTGGTTCATCATGTGGCACGGTCAATGCCCCTCCCCTTCTCCAAAACCGTAACTCTGAATTTTTTACCTGGAGAAATACTTAAATAAATTAATTGTGCGGCGTCATTTGTAATATGTTTAATAAAAATATAATATTTAAATAATATTTAAATATAAATTAATTTTAATATTAATGATAATAGAGAGAGAATGAAAAAAATTAAATGTATACTTTACTATAAAAATAAAATTAATTAAAAAATATCACACCAAATTTTATTTAAATTATTTTAAATATTTTAATTGATCAGACTATAAATAATGTGATCTAACTAATTTATCCAAATATTTCTTCTGTTAAGTGTCAACATATGACATATCATACTTGCTAGGTCTCAAATTATAAATTTTTTTTGAAGGTATTATGTTGTTCTAAAATATAAGAAAATTTAACAAATTTAAAGTTTTATTAATAATACTTTGAGAAAACATAATATTTGATCTCTATAATTTTATTAAGTTTTATTTGCAATCCTTATAATTTTTTTCAGTATTTTCAATCTCTATAAGAACTAAATCATAAAAAATAAAAGTTACAAGGACTTGAAAAATAAAAGTAACCCAATCTTTTTGATATTATAGAAACTAAAAATACTAAAAAAACTATAAGAATTAAAAAAAACTGGATGAAACTATAAATATCAAAAATTATATTTTTCTTAATACTTTTTAATATTATTCTTTAAGTAAAAAAGTTAAAATAATATTATAGTGTACTCCATCCCAACCATAATATAAAACATTGACAATTAATTTACTATTTTTAAAAAATATTAGTTGAAATTTTAATTTTTAAAACTATTTATATTTTTTTAATTTTACTCTTATAAAATTTTATATATAAGTGCTTTGATAATAATAATTAAAATTTTGATGCATCATTTAAAAAAAATAAATGAAGTAGTAATATAGTTAAAAAAATAATTATAAAAATTATCAAATATTATATATTTTGGATTAAGCAAAGATTTTAAAAAATATTCTATATTATTATTTGAAGAGAGTAATAATTAAATATGTAGGATTATTTTTAAAAGTTTATAATTTTATTTTGAAAAAGTAAATTTGTAAAGTAACATTATTTTATTGGTATGTGTAATCTAGCTCAAATTATTTTATAATTTGGGATGTTGGAGTACTAAATATTTTTAAAATGATCATCCCTATCACGCTATCAATCACATGTAATCCATTAATTTCAAAATATTTTGGCCAAAAAATTAATTTCAAAATAGCAGTCGTTTAATATTTTTATTTTTGTTACATTATTTTAATATTTTAGTATATGTATTAATAAATTTAATTTATATATTAATCACATTATTAAACTTGTTCGCAATTTAATACATTAAAATATGTACTCATAATTCATAAATAATAGTGTAATAAACGAATATTAATAAATGATGCTTTAGAATTCTAATAAAACAATATAAATTGAAACAATCTTTTTTTCTAAAAAATGATATTATAAATAGAAAGAAGTATTATCAATTTTGATAATTAATATTAGCATTGATT